TTAGTAGCCTCATTTTGTTTATTTGAAAAAATAAATAACAACAATTAGTAAATAATGGTAATTATTTCTTATGTTTTTTTCACTCTTTACTGGCTTTTATGCATCCTATTTGTCTAATTTTCTTGCCGATAACCTTTTTATTACTGTTAATGATTCTTGAAAAAATCAACAAGTTCTTAACATGATTAAAAAAACTGATAAATTTTTTAATAGTTACATGTTAAATAATGAAAAATTTTGAAAATTTTGAAAAAAGATATAAACTCAATTATAATTGTTTGAAATATGAATTTATTATTTTTTAATTACGTTTAATAATTTATAAAGAGAGTATTATTTTTCAAACAATATACAAAACTCTTTTTTTTTTTTGTCTAATATTATGTCCATTTTATTAAGAGTAATTGTGCTAATGTAATTTCATCTCTTAGTGTGGTGATTACCTGTGCACCATTTGGATGGATTTCTTTGCATTTTTTTTTTTTTGTGGTACATTGGGCAATGCTTACGGCATTGGATTATTTTAGTGGTGCGTGGCTATCAGGGGGTTCTTCAAAATAAAGGAAACCTCTCCCTAGGTGATAAAATTGAGATACTATCACAATTGCACAAAAGTTTTGCACTCGAAACACATGCCGGATTACACATGTTCAATCTTTTTCCATGAGAAACTTGCACCTTTAAACCCAACAAGTCAATGATGTAATTGCTCTGGAACTACTTTGTAATTTTTGAACAACTAAAAAAGCTACATGACGGATTTCTTTGCATTCGTGGCAAATTCTTCAAAGCCTTCTATCAATAGCTATGATGAGACATGAGAGGAAAATGAAGATGGACGCAAAGGAAATGGAGAGAAAGTTTATTTTAAAATTTTAATTTTTTAATATTTTAAAATTATTTGTTATAGTAAATATAAGGTAATTGATGAAGTTTTCTTAAGTAAATAATTTATATATCATCGAAATATTGAAATCCACTAACAAACATGGAAATAGCAAGAGTTGAGTTGTAGCCTAATTACCAATTTTTTTTATTAATCTCTTGCTATTTAGTAATTACATTGAAATTCAATTAATTTAGAATTAACTTACGTTAAACCCTATAAAAAAGAAGTTATTCTAATATCTGTTTTTTCATTCACAAAATTTAAATTCAAAATTTTATTTTAAAAAAAAATTGAATTTTTTCTATTCAAATTAATAGGTTATTGGCCTAATTATCAATTTTTACCGATTACCAAGGTTAGCTTTCCCTCCTTGCCCTTCTTTTTCTCATTGTTTTTAGGGGGAAAGGGTAGGGCCTATGCCTAACCCATCCCCTTGTTAGTTCCGCCACTGCAATCCTCCCCTACTTAGAGAATTGAATTTATGTGTTTAGCATGCAGCTTTCTAGGGAAATCGCAGGGCCCAGAAGAGTTTGCCTGTACCTATCTCTAAAATTGCTGAACAATATTTATTTGGGTAAGGGTATGGTTTGGTTTGTGGGAAACAAAAAGAAAGGGAGGAGATGAGTTCTTCGATTAATTATTTTATAATATTTTAAAATATTATAATTTAATTAATTAAAAATTTATTTTATATATTTTTTTATTTAAGTACCATTTTGGTCCCTTAACTTTTTACTTTGACACTAAAATTGTCCTTCACCTTTAAAAAGTATCAAAATTATCCTTAAACTTTTATTTTTATACTAAAATGGTCCTTCCGTCAGTTAAATGACAGATAACACGTTAAAATGCCACAAAATCAATTCTTTTTTTGCTTGACTAATGACATGGCAGAAAAAAAAACACAATTGGCCATCTTTTTTTATGAGGTGACATTTTTATTTAATTTAAAAATTTTGATATCCTTTTTTTCCATCCATGTCATATCTTCTTCCTCTTTCACTTTCTCTCTCTTTTACCCTTCCTTTTCCCTTGCCTCTGCAAACCCAGATCTGGGTTCTCTCGCAAACTTCATCTTCTTCCTCCTTTCCTTTCCTTGCTCATCCTTCTTCCTTCTTCTTCTTATTCTTTCTCTCTCTCTCTCTCTTCTCCTTTCTTCTTCCTCTTTCAAACCCAAATCTGGGTTTCATCACATAACATGGAAACTAATCTCGAATATACTAAACAGCAAAGCCAAGATCTCCTAAGCCAACTAACAGAAAGGAACATAGATTAAAAAGAGTAAAGAATTTCTAGAAAAAAAGCAATTCAAGCCAAATCACATACAAGCCAAAGCCAACTACAGATCTAATCTCGAAAATAATCAACACGAAAACCACTTAATCAACTCAGAAAATACACATAGAAAACACAAAATAAGCAAAAGAACAAAACCAGATCTATACCCTCCTTTTCTTCCCCTTCACCTTGATCACTCGTGCCCTGTTCAAACCTAGATCTGGGTTTGTTTTGGAGAGGAAGAAAAACCCAGATCTGGCCATCCAAATTCGATAAGAAAAACCCTCAAGTCTAACACCTCAATCCCAACCCCTTCCTTTGCCAACTTCCTCGCGCTTCACACTCTCCTTCATCCCCTGTGTTCCCGTCAACAACTCTATCAAAATAACTCCAAAACAATACACATCAAATTCGGTGCCGCTTTGGTTATTTCCCTCATCATCTCTTCCCTTTCTGCGCCCGATGTTTCCAATCTTGATGTCGGTGATGCATGGGTCGAAATTATCAGATAGAAGGATGTTGGACAACACCGGTGACCGTGGGTGGTGCCAATGTGATGTAGGTAATTTATGTGTGAAACTCATATTTGAGTTTGAGAAAAACCCAGATCTGGGTTTGAGAGAAGATTTGGATTTTGGATGGCCGCAAAAGGCACACCAGGATCGCTTCACTCATGCTCTCCGCTTGCTGAGTGGACCATTCATCGGTGCCAAGGAAGAAGCTTGGGAAAGAAGAAGGGGCGAATGGATGAGAGACACGAAGGGAGGAAGAAGAAGATGAATAATCTAATATTAAATTATGTGGGTCTTTATTTAAATAAGAAAAAATTGCCACATGGAAAAAGAAAAATGCCATCATTAAGTTTATTTTTCACGTAATTATTATTATTTTTTAATTGTGATTTTGTGGCAAGATAATGTGCGATCTGTCATTTAACTGACGAAAAGACGGTTTTGGTACCGAAAATGAAAATTTAAGGATAATTTTGATACTTTTTAAAGGTGAGGGATAATTTTGGTGCCAAAGTTAAAAGTTGAGGGACCAAAATGGTACTTTAACCTATTTTTTTATTTTTTTTTCAAATTAAATATAACTTAAATTCACGAAGGTGAACTTTAGAAAAAAAAAATAAATCTAGCTGACTAAATACCATTAAAGCTTAGTTTAAGGAGAAAAAGAAAAAATTAGACATATTTATATTAAAAATATTAAAATATTTAATCACAATTATTAAATATTTGAGATATAATATGAATGCTAACTTTATTAGATTTAGCATGTGGTTATTATTATCATGATTTATATGGCTTGTGGGAAATAAAAAGAAAGGGAGGAGATGGGTTTTATTATTAATTAAATTATAATATTTTTAAGTATTATAATTTAATCATTTAAAAAATTCATCTCTATCTTCCCTCCCTTATTTTTATTTCTTTCAAACTAAATATAATCTAAACCCGTGTAAGATAAACTTAAAAAAAAAAAAAATCTAGCTAGTTGATTTTTTTGATATGGATCATTCAGTATCCGTAAGCTCACTCGGTCATCGATTAATTCGGATTTGAGCAGAACAGGACCCAATGAGAAGCAAAACTCTCCCTCACGAGTTTTAATGGAACTGCATTCTTAGGATTTGAAACCAAGACCTCTAATTAAGTTGAAAAAGTTTTCTGTCTACTCATTCACCCACTTGCGGGTTCTAGCTAATTGATTAAATACCATTAAAGCTTTGTTTAAAGAGAAAAGAAAAAATTTAGAATATCTTGATATTAAAAATATCAAAATATCTAATCATAATTATTCAATAAATGAGGTATACTATAAACCTAATTTTATCAAATTTATTATGTAGTTATTATTGTTGTTAATTTTGCTTTTCCCTAGTCTAAGGGTTTTGTGTTGTGTTGGTTATGTTCTTGTTGTAGGTATTTTGTCTTTTTCCTATCTAGAAAATATATGAAATATTAAATAATTTAAAAATATTTAAAACATTAATTAAAATTAATTAATTATTATAAATTCATACTTTTAAATATAAAATTGAGTGATATATTGTTTTTTTCAATACACCCATTAATATCTATTAGTTCAGCTATTAAATTTGAAATTAAAGATTTTTGTTCTTTAAATTTAAATTTAAAAATAATAATTTTTTAATAAACATATTACAGAATATTAAATTAGAAGATATATCAATTATTATTCTTTTAAATAATATACTATCAAAGAAATTGTTGTATGCTACACTCCCACAGGAAGCCGAAATTAAATAGAAAGTACTATAGTAGTATTTAATATAAAAATATTATAATTATAATACTACATAATATTATGAATCTATCATATAATGTGTCATTACATAATTGATTATTTTCATTTAAAAATCCACTTATAATACTATGTACAACTATTTATTTAAGATTACATTATATATATATATTTTGTATTAACCTCTCGATATCCGATAACTATATTAAATTTTGATTAATTCGAAATTGATTTGCGTTGGACCTTATTAAGGAAAAAGTTCTTATAATATTTTTTTTTCCATTTATAAAATTTGAACTCGAGACTTTACTTAAAGGGAATCGAGCTTCTTTCAGTCGATCCAACAGATCGTTGGTAACATTACATTATATTTATTCAATATCATATTATAATTATAAATTTATAATTTTATGCCATATTAAAACTATGGCATTGTCAAAATTAAAAGTATGCGCTTATGCTCTCAACAAAGGAAATACAAAAACATTTTACATCAAAAAAAAAAAGAAATACAAACATAGGCCGACAAACAATTGATGTTTCGGCCTTAAGTAGGGCATCGAATTTACTCCTGGTCTGGGCTTTCACTCCTGCTGGGCCCAATTGTGTTTCGTCTGCAAATCCTAAGGTCCACTAATGGAGGAAAAAAGAACCCAAACTTATGCCAGCTCTTCGCCTTAACCCAGACCTAAACGCTGCAAAGAAACCGTGAAGCGGCGAATCTGTAAAGGAAGCCATGACTACGAAGGAGGGACAGAGCAGGAAACGGAAGAGGGCAAGACGACACCGGGAACCGCCGCAGTCGACACACACGACGGAGCATAAACGAGAAACCCATCAACGAGAACATGCTCGCCAATCCTCTGCTTCTGCAATGCCACCCAAATCCTCTTCTTCTTCTTCTTCTTCTTCCTCTTTTCTCGACAAGGTGTCTCTCTCTTTGCGTTTATATTTATGTACAGAATTACAGATACATGATTCCTGAAGCCTTGGATGTGGATGTGCAGATTAAAGCCAAGTTAGCTGGAGGACACTTCAGGATGATCAATGAAAAGCTCTACACTTGCACGTAATTCCATCTTTCCCCCTTCTTCTTTCATGGTTTTACTTATTATTGTTTCACTATCCCTCTCTGGTTTTTTCCAAAGAAGTAAAAGAAAAGAGAGAAATTTGGGGTCAATTATATTTCTTGATTATGAAGATTGAACTCAGTTGAGCTCCTAAACTCCAATGAAATGTGTGGTATTGTTATATAGTTGATTTCTTGAAATTTTTCAGTTTTTTCATAATAATACCCTTTTTTTTTTTTTTTTATTTGGATTATTGTAAGTTTATGTTCCCACTTATGGCATATTGGGTAAATTTTATTTGTGAAACTAGTGCCTGATTTCTTGAATATAGTTCAACTCCTTTCTTCTTTTTCAAAGGGGTGAAGAAGCACTCAAATATTTCAAGGAAGACCCTGCATTATTTGATATGGTGAGACTTAAATTAAACCTGATTCTGATATTCTTTAATATGACTTCTATATACTTATAGATTCACTGTATTTTCCTATCTGTTGCTTTACTTGAGAGAAAGGTCGATAATTGGTATTTATATTATTGAATGCATAATCAGTATCAAAATAAATTTCTTCCTGATATCACTCAAAGTTGTCTTCTTCTTCTTTTCTAGTTGTAGTTCGATTCATAATACCTATGGTGCTAAAAATGTTTGAAACTTTTGAATATTAGAATGATCTAGTTGCATGTGGACTTATTTTTTTCACCCACCTGGCCAGTATCATACAGGATATCAAGAGCAAATGTCACATTGGCCGGAGCAACCAGTCAATATTATCATAAAATGGCTACAGGATCATA